TATATATATATATATATATATATATATATATATTTAAAGGCATGTGAGAGTCTTTTCAACTTTCAACTTTGATAGTTGATGAAAGAAAGAGGAGAGAGAAGACTGAACTTGGGGAGAGGAAGAAAGAGAGAGAAGAGAGAAGGAAAGGAAATAGAAAAGAAAGAGGGGAGAGAGAAATTTATATATATATTTTATAATTTTAAATTGATTTTACAATTATATCCTTGAATTTAACAGTTTTTTTGACGGAGGGACTATTTAAGAGCACCTATATTAACGTTAGGGACCATGAGTGATACAAAAAAACTTTAAGGATGCAATCTAATAGTTTAGCAAACGTGAGGGACGTTTTGTGATAAAAAGCCTTTTTTTTATATAAGAAGCTTGCAGTCTCTCTGAAACCAAAGCTCCTTTCCCTATTTTAAAGGGCAAATAAGGATACCCTGTAAGTATAACAAAATAAAACAATTTTAGGAGACTTGGCAATTTACCAATTTAGCATTTACATAATTTCATTCTTATGTATTTCTTCTGTATGCTAACTGCTCGTCAATTCTATAATGAACTTTCTGGGAGAAATTTTTTTTTTCGGTATTTAAATCAGATATATATGGTCCTCAAATAAAGCTATGATTGCTGATTGTATCATGATTCTATGTTGAACACAGAGAGCTTCATTCTGATATGAAGTTGAGATTTAAGATATTACGAAAAGTTTACTTTCCAGAGATTGGAGACTCCTTGGTGTGAAAGCCAAAACTCTTTTGATATGAAGCCAATGCGTCTTTTACCACCTATTTCCTGTTTTTCCATTGTTTTCGCTCCCGCTAAATTACCCAAATACTTAATTCACCCATATCCTACATCAAGTTTGCCGACCCCTCTACTCAGTAAAGTCTGACATTGCATCATTTACCCTCAATTTCCCAACAGATTTGCCAATGGTTCCTCGATTTTGTAGATTGAAAGTGTTGGGTTTCATCCGCTGAACATACCCCTTTTCACTGAATGCCTGACAATTATATGCAAAGAAAACTTTAAGAAAAAAAAAACATGAAATACTGATAGTTTCTTTTCTTTTAAATTTTCCTTGTTCAGAAATAAAGGAGTAAAATATAACTTCATGAAAAAGAAGGTATTAGCGTATACCAAAAGCATTTCTTCATTTGGAATAACATCTATGTCATCAAGGTGGCCACTATCATCTAGAAAAGCATTTCCTCCAGCATTGAACGCCTTGGACTGGAAAACTTGCTTTTTAACTCATTTGCTTCTTGTTCAACAACTGATTGAAATAAAAAATATAAAAACAGAATTGTAATTCAATTTGAACCATATGGAGGCAATTAAAGTATCTTCCCTATAAACAGTATGATAGTCATCTTAAGAACATTTAACATCATTTCTAAACAAGGGTAGATGAAAAAAGGAAGAAGTGAAAATGATGATACAAAGACAGCCTATGCACCAATTTTTTTTCCATAACAGGTTGTTAAATCAACATAATGATCAAGATCCCACTTCCAACCCAATTAAATGCATTCTACACTGCCTTAACAGGAGCGTGGTGCAAGAGGTCCGACCTAATCAAATGTGCACTTTTGAAAATAATATAATACAAAGAAGCGCATTGAAAAATATTTATCTGAAGGATTACAAAACAGTCTTAAAACTATGTACAATAATCAGAAGAAATATATAATACAAAAGTGTATAACTCAGTAGATTTATTTCAAAACATGGGGAGGAATTCAGACACATATATAGAAATACGGAATCGATACGTATGTCTAAACATAATGTGCAATGAAAAATTCAGACACGAAACTGGGTAAGTTGTAAGCTGGGGAATCTTGCAACTAGAGTTATATATGGCTTCACAAGTTATTATTAAGTTTTCAAATTAGGGCATTCAACCCAAAATCAATTGGCAATAGGAGGCCCATATTTCATGGCTTCGGCTTGGGAAGCAGATGTTTGAACTCAGTTGATTCGCTAAGGAATACATTTAAGAAAAAGGGGATCAAAACACCAGGGTATGGACAGAATACAGATAAAAAAGTCTGCATTCCAGAGCTGCTTTCAAAGAAAACCAAACCCTAGACATCAAGGAAATTTGAATAACAAAATTGGAAAACATGATTACATTCTGTTACTGAACTGGAACTCTCATCTACTCCCAAAAAACCCTCGCTAAGTAAGGCATTAAATAAACCCTACCCCTAAGAACCATGTTCGATAAAAATAACAGATTATTGGAAGGTTCTGATTAGTTAAACCATAAGCGTCCTTAAACTTCTGTTGCACTAGACCCCAGGTGCCAAAAAAAATTCACATGTTATAGGAAAGAAATTTCATTGATCAAAAGAAGCAAACACAAAGTACATGACAAAAAATCTACTGCACCAAAAAATGTTCTTTGCAGCAGATGCTAGAAAGCAAAAAAACAGAAAAACAACGCATGCAGAACAACAGAAGTTTAATGACAATGCCAGAAAATCATGTCTCAGTGCTTTTGAACCACCACTTCTACTCAAGTTGAAGAAAATGAAAAACTCAAAAACATAGGGG